GAACCAGTCCATTGTTCCTTGTTCAGTTCTAACTGTTGCTTCTTGACTGCATACAGATTTCTCAGGAGGCAGGTAAGGTGGTCTGGTATTCCTATCTCTTCAAGAATTTTCCAGTTTGTTGTGATCTACACAGTCAAAGGCTTTGGCATAGTCAATAAAGCAGAAGTAGATGTTTTTCTGGAACTCTCTTGCTTTTTTGATGATACAGTGGGTGTTGGCAATTTGATCTCTAGTTCCTCTACCTTTTCTAAATGCAACTTGAACCTGGAAGTTCTTGGTTCTTGTACAGTTGAAGCCTGACTTAGAAAATTTAGAATATTATTTTGCTAGTGTGTGAGAGTAGAAATGTGTGGTAGTTTGAGCATTCTTTGGCATTGCCTTTCTTTGGGAATGGAATGAAAACTAACTTTTTCCAGTCCTGTGGCCACTGCTGAGTTTTCCAAATTTGCTGGCATATTGAGTGCAACACTTTCGCAGCATCATCTTTTAGGATTTGGAATAGCTCAATTGGAATTCCATCATCTCCAGTAGCTTTATTCGTAGTGGTGTTTCCTAAGGCCCACTTGACTTCTCATTGCAGGGTGTCTGACTCTAGGTGAGTGATCACACCATCGTGGTTATCTGGATCTTGAAGATCTTTTTTGTATAGTTCTATGTATTCTTACCACCTCTTCTTAATATCTTCTCCTTCTGTTAGGTCCATGCCATTTCTGTCCTTTATATTGTGCCCATCTTTGCATGAACTGACCCTTTTGTTTAGCCGTGGGAATTGGAATGGGAGAACTGGCCCAAATATTGTTAATCTGGCAACTATAGTACTGTGAAAAATAAACTATCCTTTATCTCTGACACAGGAGTCTCATATATCCTACCAGCATTCATGAAACTGTGGCAAGATAACTTGCAAGTAGAGTAAAATCACAGACACTTCACAGCTCTGGATATTTTCTACTTCATGTCCTCCAGATCACTAGTACATTTTTCAGCAGTGTCTAATCTGCTTTGAAACACATCCTTTGAGTTCTCAATTTTAGTTATGGTATTTTTCAGTTCTCAAATTTTCACTTAATTCTTTTTCATGGATTCCAGTTCTCTATTAAAAATTCTCACTAATTTTTAAAAATAACCTTAAAAACCTAGTTAATTTTAAAAGTCATTTTAAAGTCATAGCCTGATAAATCCAATATCTTGATCAAGTGTTTTCTTTCTTATTCCTGTCCCCTTTTGCTTGATAACTTTTGGTTGAATGATAGACATTGCATATGAAAAATTATACTTAGGAATGATATTATCTACCCCCCTAAATGGACTTATTTTCGCTTCTGTTAAGCAGTTAGAGTTGAGACAGATCATCTTAAGTTTTATATGTTTTGAAGTGATTTTATGTGAATTCCAGTCTTTGTAAGGGCAGATATTTTTATATATAACTCATCTGTATTTCTCTTACAGTGGTTTTAAATAAAAGGTTATAGTATTTACCAGGACTCCTTTTCCTTGGCTGGCCCTGAACATCAGTTTGCTTCCTCGCACTATAAGATTGCCAAAAGTCCTACTTAACTTCTGCTTAGAAATTTGAGCTGGTGTTTTCTAGAAACTCTCTTTTATTTATTTCAACTGCAATTTTTCTTTGTTTGAAATGACATTGTGTTTGAATATCTAGATATTTTCTTTTCACTATATTTTTAAGATAAAGGAATGATTATACCTCAGAGAATATAGAGAGTATAGAGTCTCTGGGCTCAATAGTGCTTGTAAATCAGCAAACATGGACTTTATGCTATACATAGGTGTAGTTTTCTTTGAAATTATCCTGTATAGGGTCTGTAGTAGTTCTTGAATTAAGGATGCACTAGAAATAAAAGATTACATTTAATGCATTTTTCTTCTCTTTGAAATTTTGGCTCCATGGGATGCTTCAGGGTGCTTTGGTTGTTCCTTGGTACCTTCAAACAGATATTATCTGTACTTTTCCATATTTTTGAAGTAGTTCTCACTAGGAGGGTTAGTCTCATACAGACTTGTTTGTCATAGAAGAAAGCAGAAGTTCTCTTTCTTTTATGGCCTTATCAAGGATGATGAGTTGATCAGAAAACTATTCCATTTAATGTATTAGCCTTACTCTTCACTTCTCAGGTGTGTCAGTTTATGCTGGTGCATAATAAATCATCACCAAAACTTAGTACTTTAAAACAACAACCATTTATTTGTTTATGATATGGATTAGCAATTTGGGCTAGGCACAGCCAAGCAGTTCTTTTCCATCTGGTGTTAGCTGAGTTCATTAATGTATTTTCAGTTAGTTGACAGGCTGATTAGGGGATAGCACATGTGCCCTCGTTTGTATTTTTGTCAGTGGACATCTTGATTCTCTACTTTGTGGCCTCCAGCAGGGTAGCTCAGGTTTCTTGTTGTTTTTCAGTTGCCCAGTCATGTCCACTGTTTTGAGACCCCTTGGACTGCAGCACACCAGGCCTCCCTGTCCCTCACCATCTCCCAAAGTTTGCCCAAGTTCATGTCCATTGCATTGGTGATGCCATCCAGCCATCTCATCCTCTGATACCCTCTTCTCCTTCTGCCCTCAGTCTTTCCCAGAAACAGAGTCTTCTCCAATGAGTCGGCTGTTTGTATCAGACGACCAAAATACTGGATTCTTCAGGATCAGTCCTTCCAATGATTATTCGGGGTTGATTTCCTTTAAGATTGACTGGTTTGGTCTCCTTGCTCTCCAAGGGATTTTCAGAAGTCTTCTGTAGCATCAGAGTTCAAAGGCATCAATTCTTTGGCACTCTGTCTTCTATATGGTCAAGTTCTCACAACCATATATGACACTGGGAAGACCATAGCATTGACTATGTGGCTTTTGATGGCAGAATAACATCTCTGCTTTTCAACATACTGTCTAGGTTTCTCATAACTTTCCTGCCAAGAAGCAATTGTCTTCTGTTTTCATGGCTGTAGTCACCATTCTCAGTGATTTTAGAGCCTAAAAAGAGGAAATCTGTCACTTTTTCCACCTTTTCCCCTTCTATTTGCCATGAAGTAACGGGGCCGGATGCCATGATCTTTGTTTTCTTAATATTTAGTTTTAAGCTGGCTTTTTCACTCTCCTCGTTCACCCTCATCAACAGGCTTTTTAGTTCCTCTTCACTTTATGCTATTAGAGTGGTATCATCCACATGTCTGAGGTTGTTGATATTTCTCCCACCTACCTGATTCCAGTTTGTAACTCATCCAGCCCGGCATTTCTCATTATGGGCTCAACATATAGGTTAAGCAAACAGGGTAACAACAGACCTCCCTGTCGTACTCCTTTCTAAATCTGGAACCAATCAGTTGTTCCATATAGGGTTCTAACTGTTTCTTCTTGACCAGCATACGGGTTTCATAGGAGACAGGTAAGATGGTCTGGCATTCCCATCTCTTTAAGAGCTCTCTGCAGTTTATTGTGATCCACACAGTCAAAGGCTTTAGTCTCAGGTTTCTTACTTGGTGCTTATGAGGTCTCTGATTGCATCATATTTGCTATGTCCCCTTGACCAATGCCCAGAATTCAAATTCCTGGTCATGTTGGAGGCGAGTTTACCAGGACATGAATATGAGGTGAGATTCATTGAGGGCATTAACATTACAACCCATCACACCACGTAATATAATGTCTCAGCTTATCTAAAAGAAGCACACCACCCCTTGCTTTAAAGAAAACTCTAGCCGTAGGAATTTCATTCTATTTTTTAGGAGACATTTTTAGACTACCTAAATAATCGTATATATTTTACTACTGTCTCATTTGAGAATGGGCCAATTTGGGTCACCAGTTTGTCACTGGAAAAGAGGTTAGGACATCAGATTTGAGTAGTACTCAATAAACATAAAACAAGGTATTTTGTTGAGCCAGCAAAACAACTTTTCCATCTAATTTAACTCTAAGTCAACTAAAAGAGTGCAGTTACACCTGTGGTAGTTTTATTAAATTTTAAACAAGACATTTAACTTGATTTTGGAATTCTTGTCCCCCTTTTTAGAAAGAAAATGCCTCAAAATATTGTCTCTAATTCCTTCTCAGAAGTTGGAATGTAAAACATTATTATTTGAGAGGAATTTGTGGTATAAAAGCTTCCCTGGTGGCTCAGCTGGTATCAGAATCCAGCTGAGAATCCCCCTGCAATGTGGGAGAATTGGGTTCGATCCTTGGGTTGGGAAGATCCCCTGGAGAAGGGAAAGGCTACCCACTCTAGTATTCTGGCCTGGAGAATTCCATGGACTGCATAGCCAAATAGGTATAAACAATATTTTTAACCCTTAAAATGAGTTGTTTATATGGTGGCATTAAAATAGTGAATACTCTTATTTTCCTCAGCCCTTGCTGCCATCCCAGTACTGGTACTACATTTTGGAGATGAGTTTTTATTGGTCTCTCTTATTTAGCCTTGGCTCTGATATCAAGAGGAAGGTAAGTGTCTTATTTACAAAGCTGCTTTATCCATTTTTTTCAAAAATGTTCATCCCCCTTCCCCAAATCTAATCTTTAAATTATATTTTTTTGTGTTCTTAGTTCTTGTTGATAGTTTTTTTTTTTACTTTTATAGCACATAGAATAGTGCAAATATACTCACTCTTTGGTTACTTGATAATTTGTAGTGAAATATTATAAAAACTTTAACTTTGAAGTTCCACTCTTGTTCGATGACAAAAGGACTCTCCTTTATGATGTCTGTTTCTTTCTCTTGGTTTGGGAATTTAGTGTTCTTCAGTGCAAAGAAAGTGCTAGTATTTTTAATTCTACAACCATATCTTTTAGTTGATTACAGACTACTTTATTCTTTGATGTATTCAGTGGCTCTGAAAAGATTTTTTTTTGCTCTGCACTCTCCGTGCAGTCAGACTTTCTTGTGTGCACGAGCGGTACAGGTCAAATGAAAAATACTCTTGGCATGTACTATGTTATGTTCTACATAAAAGATCCTTTTGTAGCAGAATTCGTATGATAAATAAAATTAAGTGGGATTCGTATTAAGGAGCTAAAACCAAGCTGGCTTGACTGAACGGTGTTTACGTGATGGTGCACATGATCTACCACTAAGGGGCCCAGTCAGCTGCTCAGCTGAAGATCTAAAGGAAACTTACAGAGTAAACCACGAGAACATAGTGTGGAAAATCTGGTTCAAATGATTTCCTTTTCCAGAAAACTTGATCGCTATAGTTTAATTATTATTAACTTAGTTTAGGCTAAGAATATATCACATTTTAATTGAGGCATTTTCTCAAGGGATAGAATCGAAAATAATCATTATTTAGAAGGTCTTAATAGACAGACTCAGGTAGGATGACCCCGTAATCATCCTTTTCCCACTTTTGAGCCTTTGATTTTTTTCAATAGTTGCTTTCTCTTTATTATATACAGGTCCATAGCACCTTTCAAAAAATTAAATATAGATTTAAATCACATATTTAAAAATATATTTTTTCAAAGACAAAAAACTGTTAAGAATTGGGTAAAGCACAGGCTCTGAAGTCACACTGCCTGAGTGTAGATCCTGTCTTCCCCACTCATTAACATTTTGAGCTAGTTGATTATACTCACTCAACTTAATCTCCTCATATATAGAGTTAAAAATAGTTTCTATCTCCTCCAGTTGTGAGGATTAAACAAGTTAATCCATATAAACCACTTTCTGGTATATAGAAAGTACTCAATAAATTAGGCTGTTATTGTTCCTTTTTTTTTTTTTTTTTTTTTAAACTGGAGTTTCCCTAGGTGAGCCTATCTGTTGAATACATACACAAAGCATCAAGAAGACAGGGAAAAGTACACAAATCACAGGTGTAGAAATCAGGGAATTTTCATAAAGTGAACAGACTCTTGTAATTAGTATCTAGACTAAGAAGTACATCATTGCCAGCCCCATGGAAGTCCCCCTCCAGTTCTTGCCTGGTTGCTAACCCTCCAAGGGAACCACTATCTTGACTTCTAACATCATAGATTCATTTTTGCCTCTTTGGAATTTTATATAAATTGCATCACATTTTNAAGAAAAGCTATGATCAACCTAGCCAGCATATTAAAAAGGAGAGACATTACTTTGCCAACAAAGGCCCATCTAGTCACAGCTTTGGTTTTTCCAGTAGTCATGTATGGATGTGAGAGTTGTTCTATAAAGAAAGCTGAGCACTGAAGAATTGATGCTTTTGAACTGTGGTGTTGAAGACTCTTGAGAGTCTCTTGGACTGTAGGGAGAGCAAACCAGTCCATCCTAAAGGAAATAAGTCCTGAGTATTCATTGGAAGGACTGATGCTGAAGCTGAAACTCCGATACTTTCGCCACCTGATGAACTGACTTATCAGAAAAGACCCTGATGCTGGGAAAGATTGAAGGCAAGAGGAGAAGAGGACGACAGAGGATGAGATGGCAGGAAGGCATCACCAACTCGATGGAAATGAGTTTGTGTAAGCTCTGAGAATTGGTGATGAATAGGGAAGCCTGGTGTGCTGCAGTTCATGGGGTCACAAAGAGTCAGACACGCCTGAGCTACTGAACTGAACTGAAAAACCTTTTAATGAAGATATTCACATACCATACAACTCTTCTATCTAAAGTACATAATACAGTGGCTTTTAGTAAATTCGCAGGATTCTGCAGTCATCACTACAGTCAATTCTATTTCCATCAGCTCAGATAGAAATTCTGTACCCTTTAGTGGTTGCTCCCCATTTCTTCTAACCTCTACAGACCCAGGCAGCTGCTAACCTACTTTTTGTTTCTATGCATTTGCCTCTTTTGGATATTTTATATAAATGTAGTCATACAATATTTGTGTTTTTTTGTATTAGGTTGATGCAAAAGTAATTGTGGTTTTGCGTTGTTGAACTTTCCCATTTGACATTGGAATACATTCTTAAATAAATTGTGATAATATTATACATCATTGTAATGCACATTTCTCACTGGTCTTTTTGCTAATGACTTATCACTTGCTGTTTTATTTTATATTTGTTTTAGACTAGGGAAATGATGTTAGGCAAAAAGAAAATTTTGAGTATTTTTCTTATTCGTGTTCAAAATGGGTCGTAAAGCAGCAGAGATAGCTCGCAAGGTCAATGACACATTTGGCCCAGGAAACTGCTAACGAATCTTCAGTGCAGCAGGGGTAAAGAAGAGGAGAGGAGAGGCAAAGGAGAGGAGAGCCTTGAAGATGAGGAGCGCAGTGGCCGGCCTTCAGAAGGTGACAAAGACCAACTGAAAGCAGTCATTGAAGCAGATCCTCTTACAACTACTTGAGAAGTTGCTGAAAAACTCAGTGTTGACCATTCTGTGGTCTTCTGGCATTTGAGGCAAATTGGAAAGGTGAAAAATCTCGATAAATGGTGCCTCATGAACTGACTGAAAATTTTTTTTTAAATCATTGTTTTCAAGTGTCATCTTCTTTTATTTTACACAATAACAATGAACCGTTTATTGATCAGTTTGTGACAAGTTATAAAAAGTGGATTTTATATGACAACCAGAAATGACCAGCTCAGTGGTTGGACTGAGAAGAAGCCCCAGATCACTTCCCAAAGCCAAACTTGCCCCAAAAGAAGTCATGGTCACTGTTTGGTGGTCTGCTGCTTGCCTGATCTACAGCATTCTGAATCCGAACAAAACCATTACATCTGAGAAGTATGCTCAGCAACCTAATGAGGTGCACCGAAAACTGCAATGCCTGCATCTGGCATTGGTCAACAGAAAGGGGCCAGTACTTCTCCATGACAAGGCCAAACTGGAGAATGTCGCACAACCAACACTGCAAAAGATTAACAAATTCGGTTGTAAAGTTTTGCCTCATCGATCGTATTTTCCTGACCTCTCGCCAACTGACTACCACTTCTTCAAGCATCTCAACAACTTTTTGCAGGCAAAATGCTTCCGCAACCAGCAAGAGGCAGGAAATGCTTTTGAAGAGTTTGACAAATTGAAGCACAGATTTTTATGCTACAAGAATAAACAAACTTATTTTTCATTGGCAAAAATGTGTTGATTATAATGGTTCCTATTTTGATTAATAAAGATGTGTTTGAGCTTAGTTATAATGATTTAAAATTCACAAAGACTTCAGTTACATTTGCACCAACCTGGCTTCTTTTATTTAGCATAATGTTTTCAAAGTTCATTCATGTTGTAGCATGCATCAGTATTTTATTCCTTTTTATTAATGAATAATATTCCATTATGTGGAAATATTACATTTTGTTTATCTGTTTATCAACTGATAGTTATCTGGGTTGTTTCTGACTTTTGGGCTATTATGAATAATGCTACTGTGAGCATTTGTATGAAAATTTTTACATGAACATACATTTTAATTTTTCCCAGATATATACCTGGGGTGGAATTGCTATACTATGTAGTAGTCCTATGTATAACCTTTAGGGGAATTGTCAGACTATTCAACAAAGCAGGCATACCATTTTACATTCCTACCAGCAGTGTATAATAGTTCCAACTTCTCCACTTACTAGCCAGTGCTTATTTTTGTTTGCCGCTTTGTTTAGTATTAGCAAAATACTTTAATATTTCGCTAATGTAGTTATTCCACTTTTATTTGTTACTTATTTCATATGTAGTAACTTATTTTAATGGTTGTGTAATTTTATTACATCTGTCTTGGAATTAGGCAGGGAATTAACAATAAATGTAAATGTACATAGGAATATGCTTATGTATATGTATGTCTTGTCTGTGTGTGTAAAGTGTACATATATCCAATGTAGAGCAGTGGGAAGAACAGCAGATATTAGGACTTAGATGGCAACTGTTCAGTGTTACCTCAAAGTTAAATGACTTCATCAATGAGGATAACACTTGTTCTATCTCTATCGTAAGAACTGTGTTTAAGGATGAAAGTGAAAGCATTTTACAAATTTCAAAATATGCAGATGTAAGTTGTTAGTTTTTAAATTATTATTGTTATCTATTCAACTGATTGGAAAATAGCTGCATGTACTTAATGGTGTCCATTTGCCCTCATTATGTAGGATTTTCTAGCGCATGTCATCCACCACCTGGCTGCTGTCAGTTTGATGAGCTTCTCTTGGTGTGCTAACTATATTCGCAGTGGGACCCTCGTGATGATTGTACATGATGTGGCTGACATTTGGCTAGAGGTAAACGTTTGCCATTAAAAAACTAATAACAGTACCATGTCCTGGGTTAACTGTGACTCTTTACAGGAAGAACTCTCTGTGAGTGATTTAGCGGAGCTCTCAGTTCTGAAAACACCTGAAGTCTGTGGATATCTCTATGTCCCCAGATCTTTCAAGCTCAAAGAAAGGAAAGCTTTCAGTTTTTAGTTTCTAATCTTTTTTCTCCATGGTAGTCGAGAGAGAAGGGTTATTTTGTGGGATTCTATTTATGCAACTTGCATGCAGATATTAGCTTAGGAAGTAAGCTGAGATATCTGAAGAAAAAATGAATTCTCATCTTTTAAAAGGAAAACTTGGACTATGGCATTGTGGATTTTTAAAGCTGATTGGCTCCATATACTCACTTAAGCCAAAGCTAAATAGGCACTAAATGCTTGCACTGCCCTGCAGGGTTCCTCCTCCAGCTTTAAGGAATGGGAACTAATGTTTATTTAAATGATATTTATTTTCTAAGGAAGCAGTGTTTCAGAGCAGGAGACTTTAAAACAAGAGTCTTCCTAATCTCAAGCCATACAAAATATAAAAAACAAAGCAAAATTAGGATTGTTTTCTCTACCTGTTTCTGCTGTGTATTGGTTCTGTTTACCCTGAGACAGTGGGTCCTGCTATACTTAAAGCCATATTGTTCATTATTTACATATACTCATTTATAATGAAAGTGAAAGTTGCTCAGTCGGGTTTCCGACTCTTTGTGACCCCATGGACTGTACAGTCCATGAAATTCTCCAGGCCAGAATACTGGAGTGGGTAGCCTTTCCCTTCTCCAGGGGATCTTCCCAACCCAGGGATTGAACCCAGGTCTCCCACATTGCAGGTGATTCTTTACCAGCTGAGCCACAGGGGAAACCCAAGCGGGGGGAAATGATACTAACATATTGCATTCAGGATCACCTCTTAAAGGGCTAATAATTAAATATACATTAATATAGAAGAAATTTAGTTAATAAGATTTTGTTCTTTTAGATCAGGATTCAGCAAGTTCAGTTCAGTTCAGTCGCTCAGTTGTATCTGACTCTTTGCGACCCCATGGACTGCAGCACACCAGGCCTCCCTATCTATCATTAACTTCTGGAGTCCACTCAGACTCAAGTCCATTGATCGGTGATGCCATCCAACCATCTCATCTTCTGTAGTCCTCTTCTCCTCCTGCCTTCAGTCTTTCCCAGCATCAGGGTCTTTTCAAATGAGTCAGCCCTTCATATCAGGTGGCCAAAGTATTGGAGGTCAGCTTCAATATCAGTTTTCCGATGAATATTCAGGACTGATTTCCTTTAGGATGGACTGATTGTATCTCCTTGTAGTCCAAGGGACTCTCAAGAGTCTTCTCAAACACCACAGTTCAAAAGCATCAATTCTTTGGTGCTCAGCTTTCTTTATAGTCCAACTCTCACATCCATACATGACTACTGGACAAACCATAGCCTTGCTGGATTCAGCAAACTTTTTGGCAAAAAGCCAGGTAGTAAATCTACATTTGTGGACTTCATATGATCTCTTGTCACATATTCTTTTTCTGTTGTTTTTCCTTTTCTTTTATACTCCTTTAAAAATGTGAAAACCATTCTTAACTCAAGGGGCTGAGCAGCTTTAGTCCCTAGGCTGAATTGTAATTTGCCAAACTCTGTTGCAGATGTAACCAGAAATCATTTGAAGACATTTCAAAGCAACTGGCTACTGTTAAAATTGGCTAAGTACAGAAGAATTCTGTTTCTTGTATGTAACCATAATTAGACCTGTAAATCCAGTTCTAAGGGTAAAGATTATTATATGTGCTTCAGAGTAGCAAATGACTTAGCAGAAGGAGGATTATGCCAGTTCTTCCATGTGTTGCTCTCTAAATGTAGCCGTCTCTGTTATAATCACCTCCTCCTCCAATCATATCTCAGTAACCTTCCTGAAAATTAAGACCACATTGGCTGTGACTTTAAAACTTTATGCTACTCTGTTCTTCTAGCCCTCTAGTTCAACTGCCTTTGGTGTGTGTCCACCATAAAAACAGCTTCATTGTTACTAAAAGGGAGATTTAGGTGTTAGGACTGGGAATAAGCACCGTGTTGTTCCTGCCTAGCCTGACATTGATATGACATAGATTCCCTCGGTGACCTGGACAAACCACTTAATGCTTTGTTTTCTATCCTCAACTGTAACATGAGAAGTCATATTTACACCTTAGGATATATTATGATATATATATATATATATATATATACACATATATATTATGATATATATATACACATTATGATATATATATACACATATATATAATGATATATATATACATTATGCTATATATACACATACATATATATTATGATATATATATACACATTATGATATATATATATATTCATTACTGTTTGAAACTGTTCTGAGGTCCGCAGGTAAAAAGAAGGACAATAAAATGTCAAACTCAAGTCCCTACATGGGTAAACTGTGAGAACAGCTTCATGGTGTTAATGATCATGAATCATTCTTAATTTAAAAGTCATGATCTAACTTGAGGTTCAGTGAGCAAGGCCAGTACCTTCTATCAGCTGGTGGTAGAAACAACATTGAATAATAGCATAGGGCCTATTTTTGATGTTCTCCAGGAGTGCCTATTCCATAGCTTCTTTGAATATTTTGTTTTAGTGTTTGTCCTCTCAGTTAAGTTCTGATTCAACTCATCCAGATAGAGTACAAATTTTCCCCCTGTTTAGACCTTCCAAAAGGTGGAGACTGAACAAAAGAGTTATTGGGTCATTTTCTAGTTTTTTTTTTGCAAGGAAGAACAGCCTCAACATCTATAGTTTTCACTCATAGGCAGTCTTGTGCCTTCTTCATGTATCTTCATGATCCTCTTTTTCTACATGTTAAGCTTGGATCCAGGACCCAACACTTTAACAGTATCTTGACTGCAAAGGAGAGAGGTAACTGTCTGATATCCATCTTTGCACAGTCCAGGATAGGTGGCATGTACATGGGCCCAAAGAAGTGCTACTTTGCCAACTCAGGTGGCTCTCTTCACATCTATGCACATCTCCAGCTTCCTGCCAGGCCTGGCTGTGGACCCTTCAAACAGCTCCCTATATTCCAAGCCCTGTAAACTTCTGGCTTTCTCCCCTTACCCAAGTTGTTCCTCGCTGGCATGCCAGCCTTCCGTTTCAGCAGTGAAGGCTACTTCCTTTTGGGCCTCTGCTAACCCAATAGCCTGATCACATTCCTAGCCCTTGGTAAATAGGGAAAAGTATGGAAAATGCAGTATAAACCATTCCTGAAGTGTAATAAGCTGCTTCTCTTGTTCTAGATGGACCTTGACTTTCCTGGGAGATTTCAGTTCTAAAACTGGCAGGCCTAAGCCACACTTCTGCCCAGCTTCCACCCCCAACTTCAGACACTTTCCCATTCAGCCTTGAGCTACACTGGATAATGCAAGAGAATCCTCATTACATTAATACCACATTAAACAGCACTTTCTGTAATTCTTTTTACACAACACAAATCATATGAACACTACAGACTAGCATGAAGTAAGCAGGAAGAATCAAGTGCTTGAAACTCTGCTTCAACCAGGTTAGGGCCCTAAGGGCTGCCTCCTAACTCCATTCTCTGTATCATCCGCCTGAAAGTAGCTGCCTTGATTGCAGCATGCCCAGCCCAGCCCAGGGCTTCACTCATATCCCAGCCTTTCTTCACTCCAGCTCTCCTCCCAGTTAAATGGAGGAATTCAATAAAAGTCAAGCTAACATACATGCTAAAAAGCAGTTATGCTAATTTATAGTGCTTACGTAATACAAGAGTAATATTACAGTCATTCTAACTAATTTTTTTTTTTTTACTGAATAACTAATTTTTTAAATGTTGTATTATGTAAGGTTCCAAACATATGACAAGGTAAAGAATGTAATGGGCCCAATGGACCCACCATCAAGTTTTAATAGTTATTAATGTGGCCAATCTTATTTCATCTACTTCTTATCCATAACCCAACCCCCACCAAGATTTTGAAGCAAATCCCAGATATAATTTAACTTATAGATATTTAATTTTACATGACTGTCACCCTATCTGAATGCAATTTCTTTCTGTTTTCTCAGTCTGCTAAGATGTTTTCTTATGCCGGATGGAAGCAAACCTGTAACACCCTGTTTTTCATCTTCTCCACCGTGTTTTTGATCAGTCGCCTCATTATTTTTCCCTTCTGGTGAGTAGACAAGGTGCTGTGCATGCCTTTGGTCACTATGCTGAAGTGGCCTTGCATGTTGTTCAGGTTGGAGCATTGCCCTTTTTTTCTCACATGGATCTCCAGCTATTTGTGCCAGGTTTAGCTGGACAGAAGAATGTGAAGGGGCCATTTTTATAGATAATTAAAACCACACCTTCCAGTGTGAAAGGCTTGCTACAAAGGAAGATAAAAGATGTGTGACCAATGGAAAGCAGCATCTCATACTCTGTGTCTGCTTTCGTGAACATGGATCTTTTTTGTGATTAACAACTTTTCCAGTTATTCAGTGAAATGTCATTGGTCAATTATCAGTTCTTTAAAAGAGAGGCAAATTCTGTGTTAAAATTGCAATAGTTATAACCACCATTAATTGAATGCCAGGCATTGGATTAGGCCCTTAATACATCTTGGCACTAGCTATACAGCAAACCATAAAGATGAGTGTCATCACTTCCACTTCACATTTGAGGAAACTGATGCTGATTTCATTCTTCATGATCTCTGGTCCTAACAGTGGTTTGGACCACTGGCTCTTGCTCAGTCTGTTGGTTTTATTTAGCCAAGAGCTGGCAATGCAGAACTTATGTTGTGTCTCTCCTGACAGCCTTTCCTTCAGCAAGTGTAATTTCCCACGTGTCGATTGACAGAAACCAGAGGAAAAATGTGAGGAAGACTTTGAGGGTTTGGAAAGAACAGCTTAAAACTAACTGTAGTTAATTTCAGGCGTTTCAGATACTCTCAACAGAAAAACTAGTGTTGTTGGAAGTCCTAGGTTCCAGGGGAAAGAGATGGAGACTCAGGATGGAGACACAAGATTCCTTGTGAGAGGAGAGCACAGAAGAAGACTGCTTAGAGTGTTCAGTGGGTGCTGGCCACTCTGCGGAAGCCAGCTGCGCGGACTGGGTGCCTTGCTTAGATACTTTTTCTAGATAGGAACAGCAGAGTGCAGTGACGAATTTCATGGGTACAAGTCAGTCCTGGCTGCAGACTTATTACCTCTGCAATCTTGTACAGGTTAGATCAATTTTCTCTGCTTCAGTTTCTCATCTGTAAAATGTAAGGATTGTCACGAAGCTTAGTGAGATAATAAATATTAAATAGCTTAGAACAGTGTCTGGAACATAGTAAAGACTCAGCAAATGCCAGCTGTTATTACTGAAATTATTAATGAATCTCTGAGAATTTGGAGTTTAATACAGAATCAAATTTGAGATGCATGTTTAAGATGCTCTTCTTGGTTTATGAATCATATTTATGAATCATATTACCATCACTTTCACTTTGGCTGATCAAGTGTGTTTGTGAAATTAGAATATTGTACAATATTGATAGGATAAGAATTGACTTGCAGATAGCAGTTAAGTTGTGACTTTTTAGTGTGACTTTCATGGTGCTCTGAATCTAGCATATGCCCACTGCTTATTTTGTTTCAAAGGTACCATGTGTTCCAATTATCTATAGCTGTGTAACAAACATTTTAAAAAGCTTAGTGGCTTAACACAGTAGTGAGCAAATTTTTTCTATAAAGGGCCATAGAATAACTATTTTAGACTTTAAGAGCCATATATAGTCTCTGTTGCATGTTTTTCTTTGTTTTGTTCTATTTCTTTTACAATCCTTTAAAAATGTACCAAACCCAGCTTAGATCACTGGCTGTAGAAAAAGCTCTACAGGCCAGACTTTATCAGCGAGTGATAGTTGACAGGCTTCTCTCTTAAAATAACACATTATTATTATCATTATTATTAGCTTTTATGGATCTCAGAGTTGACTGACCTCATTTACATGATTTTCACTCACGTGGTTACAGTCAGATGATAACTGGGCAGTAGGAGTTGGTGTTTTCTTGAAGGCTTCCTCAGGCACAGGGTTCAGGTGACACCCATGACATCAACTGCTTGATGCTGGTTGTTGGTTCCGACTGCTGCGGGCCTGTCAGCTGGATTGCATGCCCATGCCCCTTCACTGGCCTGACCTTCTCCTAGGACAGCAGATGGATTTCAAGGATGAGCAGTTCAAGAGAGAGCTTGGCAGATGCCATGTTTCCTTTTGTAACTCAGCTTCAGATGTCATAGCATGTCACGTCCAACCTCATTTTCTTCATTGGATCCAGGTCACTAAGGCCAGTTCATATTTAAGGAAAGGAAAATTAGCCTCCATTTCTTGTTGGGAGTACTTTCAAATAATTTATAAACATATTTTAAAAACACATACCATGGAAGTTCTCAGTCTAGAGAACCCTCTGAAAAGCTTCTAAGTATTGCTTTGTGATATTGGTTGGTTTGTGATTTAGCAACAAAGGATCTCACCTAGAACTTTACTTTAATGTCTCAAAATCAACAGGCAAGCTTACCCTAGCCTCACAGACAGTTGAACATCAGGTTAGGGCTGAGTGATTGGGAGGCGGTGTGTTACTTTCCCACACACCCTCAACTTTAAAATCCTAGACATAAGAACTCATTCTCTTGCCAGCGTTTCTGGATTTCAAGGAGAATTAGTTACATGCATTTGGCATTTTCTTGATCTTGATATTTTGCTGAATTCAGCAGCTCACTGCAGAGGGCAGCCAATACCACGGTTTGCTGTCTTCAGAGAGTTGGGCTGCAAATAAACCAGTATTAGTAGACTTGACTATAAAAATTTCTTGTGGGTAAAATTTTTTCTGTACTTATGTTGACTGATCCTCATTTGGAGGGTTAAAGAAAACCTCAGCAAGCTATTGGAAGTTTGGGAGCTGGGTTTTTCATGGTTTTCAAAAGCATCGGTTGTAGTGTATTACTCTGGCTTAAATAGCTATCCCATCAGCTTGAACCTGTTACACAACCATCGTGTGGTGCCAAAGAGGAAAAGTCAGTTCCTTGTTGTTAGTCTGGCTCCAGACATCTGTCTAAAATTTGTAACTCTGCAGATTCACTTCTTAAGGACATTTTATTAGTCCAGATTTGTTGGGAATTTACTGTGGACCAAACAAGGTGCAGACAAGAGGCCCATTTCAAGAGTCAGACATTTTAGAGGTGCTGTGGGAGGCGGTTCGCCATCCAGTTGCTCTGTTCTTCCCAGTTGTTTTGTTGCACGTTTTGTGATGAGATGAAGGACTGAGTGTGGAGAAAGCTGCTGGGTGGTGCCTTCTGAAAGGGATCTGAAACCTGAGGAAGAGAACAGGAGTTTGACATCATATGTGTCTTTCTCTTTCTTCTCCTTTCCCATTATTCCCTCAGCCTCATGAATTTCCTTATGTGTTTGTACAACTGTGTTGCCAGTTCTCCTCTCCTCCAGTTCTTTTCAGGGAACTTACTTATAGCCATTTTTCAGTCAATGTCAGCAAGAGTTAACTGCTTTGATTTTCTAAACATTGCTACTGTCAACATTAGGTAGACACTCCAGTTGGCACTGGCCAAACTGCTTTAATCTAATTTCTTGGTTACCCTATTTATTTGCATTTTTCTTCAAAAGCATTTAAGTTTCAGGCTTATGTTTTTCACTTTGTATTCCCAGCTATTGTATTAAAATAATGGCTGCTATATTTGTGAATTATTGGATGTATCTCTCTACTTTATACAAATACCACCTGAAAATCATTCCCCAACCCAGGGATCCAACCCAGGTGTCCCTCATTGCAAGCGGATTCTTTACCAACTGAGCCACCAGGGAAGCCCATTCAGTGAAAAAGATCCTCCTAAGGTCAGATAAATGATTCCCCTGACTCCTGACAGTTTTTCTCCTTAAATAAAAAGAGCAGATATTGATTTAGTCCAAGATGGTTGATCTGAAGGGAAGGAACATGTTTCAGCTGATGTTTACACGTAGCAATGCTGGGTCATTCCTTCATTTCTTGAACTCATCACTGGATGTTGTGAGGAGCTCATAGATAGATGAGATGCAGTCCTAGCCTGCAGGAGTTCGTGATGGCAGTAGAAGAGATCTTTGTATCCACCACCTTATTCATATATTTGAGAAGTATTAATACTGACCTGTATTTTTTTGACATTCCAAAAATAAAATAATAAAACATTTCTTTCAAATCAAAACTACAATAAGATATCTCCTCACACTGTTCAGAATGAATGGCTTACCATCTTTAAAAAGTCTACAAATAGCAAACGCTGGAGAGGATGAGGAGAAAAAGGACCCGTCGTGTATTTCTCCGCTGTCGGTGGGAATGTAAATTGGTGCAGCCAGTAAGGAGAACAATATGGAAGCTTCTTAAAAAACTAAAAGTAGAGCTACCATGTAATCTTACAATCCCACTCCTGGGCATATAGGAAAAGACGAAAATTCTAATTCAAAAAAATACGTGCATCTCTGTGTTCATAGCAGTACTATTTGTGATAGTCACAACATGAAGGCAGCCTAATTTGTCCACTGACAAATTAATAGATAAAGAAGATGTGGTACATATATACAATGAAATATTACTTAGAAGTAAAAAAGAATGAAATAATACCATTGTAGCAATATGGATGGACTTAAAGAGATTATCATACTAAGCGAAATGTCAGACAAAGAAAGAAAAATATCATATCACTTACTTATCATATTACTTATGTAGAGTCTAAAAAATGATTCAAAGGAACTTACAAAGCAGAAACAGACTCACAAACGTAGAAAACAAAGTTACAGTTACTAAGGAGAAAGTGAGGGAGGGATAAATGAGTGATCTGAGATGAACAGATACATACTGCTATATTTAAAACAGGTAAAAGGCTAAGGCCTACAGAGGAATCGTATTCAATATCTTATAATAACCTATAATGGAAAAAAATGTGAAAAAGAATAGATACATATATGTATAGCTAAATGACTGCTATCCACTTGAAACTAACACAGCATTGTGAATTAACTATACTTCAATTTTCAAATGGTTAAAAATAAAACATTTCTAACTGTGAAAAATAAACAACTTCCTCACCTACAAGGATACATATGCTAGTGGTAACTTTATTTCGCAACCATTGGTTCACGGGAACTTGGGCTTCATC